TGATCTCACCATTTGCGCCCTCCGTCGGCTCGGTCAGTAGACACATGATCTCTGTCGAGGTCACTTTGAAAGCCTGATCTGTTAGCACCTTCTTGTCGTCGAGGAACTCCATCTTGGTTTCACTTTGGCCGCGCACCAGCAGCCAAACCCGGTTCGCACCGATGTTGTTGCCACCGTCGCGGCAGACTGCCAAACCTTGGAGCGGATCCTCGACGATGCGGCTCGCAGGCACCGGCAGAACGACGTCGCCTGACACCACGGAGAGGCCGCAGCACATACGCAAGGCTTTCGTGGAAACCACTGCGTCCAGAGGCGCGATGCCCACCTCCATGTTGTATCGTTTGGCCACCCCGTTCTCCTGGCGGAGAATGCCCCGAATGTTGGCGCCTGTCAAGGACTGGGCGTCAACCTGGGCCGCCACCTCGTCAGGAGTCGAGCAGTCGTAGAGTGTCGGGGCGGCATCGGTGACCACGTCTACGTCCACCCCCCCGGTGCCATCCCGAAGACGGCAATTCCAGAGGAAGAGGCGGCCGTCCTGCGTGTACATCGTGTCCCGCTGTAGCGGCGCGTCCAGGGGGCACCGGTTGATCTGAAACGTGATGGGCTGGGGGTGGGCAATCGCGTCGGCCGACGCCACAGCGCACGTGGAGCGTGCGGCGGCCTCCATGACACTCGCTAAACCGGCACCGGATGACGGCACCCAGTGGGCGGTGAGCACCTCGGCCGACACACTGGTGGCGTCCAAGACTGATCTCCCACGGTGCTGATGTGGGCCCCCGGCCAGATGTTGATCTTCACCTCGCCGTTCTCAAGCGCAGCATTGCATCCGAGCACAGCGACGCCAGACCCCAGGCGCACGTGGGCGAAGTACTCGCACGCCTTTTGTCACACGGCCACCACGATGTTCCCGCCGACAGCATCCGTGAACTCCGCTTCGGCCACCATTTGGAGGTTGCCGTTCTTGATGGCTTGCTTGGAAGTGCCGATGCCAAGGAACTTGCCGCAGTAGTCGAACGCCGCCCGGCGGGTTGCACCAGTAGCACTCTCCTTGAGAAGCTCAACAATGCCCTTGATGTCCAATGCGATCTGCAGCCCCTTAGCGGGATGCGCCAACGCTTCTGGGCTGGTGCGCGGGACTCGGGTCAGTGTGGATGGGTTGCAAAGCAAGACTGCCGACTTCAACGGGCCGCCGATGAAGTCCGACTTGGCTCTGGTGTCTAAGCTCGGGTTCCGGAGCTCCGACACGGAATCCGCCGTGAATTTTCTAAAGTCTTCGACTGCTGCAGTCCGATTCTGGAAACTGAAGGGCACCGCGCCGAGCATGTACTGCGCGGGCGCGTAGGACACCAAAACGCAACTGAACCTCTGCGCCTCAACTTTTTCGTTCCTCGCTGTGAACGTGTAATCAAGGACCTTCGGGTCGAGTACCTTCACTTGCCACTTGGCGTCCTTGGCCGTCTGGGTGTTCATGTTCTTCAGCGTCTCCACATTATTGTCGAGCATTTCGGCTGGCACAGCCTGGCCCCTCGTAGCGAGGCCGAAGGAAGTGCGGCCCCCCCGCGTGCCGAGCGCAACAGAAGCCTTGAGCTGAAATCCCTGCATGGTAAGAGAATTGAGGGGAGGAGGACTCAACGTCTCACTCAATCGATATCACAATGGACCCCGCCTTCGATTTCACAATCGATCTCACTCGATCTATCACACTATCGATCTCGCTCGATCGGTCTCACTATCGACCCCACTCGATCTTGGAGCCTTTGTGTTCAGAGCTAGTTGCGTTTCGGGCTCGGTCTTGGGAGCCTTGGTGTCGAGTTGTTTACGTCGCCCTTCGCTCTTGGGCGCCTTAGTACCATTCCCCCCCCGGGAACCAACGAAATAATCTATTATTTCGTTCATCTTGCAATGGCTTGGGGGGCCGTTCGGGCTGGTCATTTGGACCCCT